ACGAATCTAGAGTTGAGAACTAGGTAATGTGGAGAGCTTGCTTTTTGAGATTTTGGAGAGGTTTTGAGTATTAACCAGTAAGATTTTAGCTGATTTATGCTCAATCAGAGTCAGGAAACCACGTTTCCATTGGAATATCTAAAGAAACTAGAACATTATCCTCTCTTCCCCCCAAACCGGTGGCTCCGGAAGTTTCACTGAAATCCTGAATACAAAATACAGAACTTTTTTTTGCTCCGGGTTCCGGTCTTGTCGGAAATTGAATTTTGACGCCCTGTCTAGCTGGTTTCATTCTGGAAACCCTAATGCTTAATTCCTGGAATTTGAAATCTTCTTTAATAAAGATGCACCCCTTCCTTCTAACTTTGAAATGTCTCTACGGTAGCTTGTGCCACTTTATTAGAGTCCCTCGTCCCCTGTACCAGTCAGAATCCGAAACTCCACTAACCCACGTACCAAAACCTGCGCCTCCAAGAATCTTGCACCACTCCAAAATCCTTCTTCTTCCAAAATACGAGACACAACAATTAGATAACAGTTCAATGCACTTCCCAATGCCCACCTCCCTAATTTTCAGATCTTTTTTCTCCGTTTCTTGACCACCTTTTCTTTTTTGTTTCTAAGAACATTCGCCCCAATGCACTTTGACATTTTATCTGTCTTCTTCTCCACTCATTCCTACACATCTATAAATAGGAATTCGGTGGGTCCCCCCTCTCCTAATCCGCTTTTCCTCCATTTTTGCTTTCCATCCATCCCCTATTCTTGGAGTTTAGCACTGAGCTGAACGTTGATCTACTCTTCATTTTATTGTTGTAGGGATTCAAAACTAGACACGTCTTTAAACTATTCCATAAAATCCAATTTTCAAAATAGGCTCCGCCCCTTTTATTCTAAAATTGTTGTTATCAGGTTTCCCTTATATAAATGAAATGAATATTTCGTGCCATTTCAAGCCTAAGTAATTCGTGCTGCTCTATTTTTGCTGCTCCTGCTCCTGGAGCATAATTTACTTCCGGTCCCGTCTTCTTCTTGACTTCAATACATATCGTCATCGATGATGTGTCTCTGGATACTTTTTTTGTCTCCCCTTCCTCTGATAATCAGGTTATGGTAGATTGAATAAAAGTTTCCTTTTTTGCCATTCTCTGGCTAAAGAGGAAGATGTGTTGTTTGTGAATTTTTGTTGTCTGAACCATCCTCTGTAATAAAACAGTTGTGATCAGAGAAAACGACGTCATGAGTACTTTCAGAATTCGAAAAAAAAACATCTGCAAACTCTCCACCTACTTTTTTTCGTTATATGTTTTTTGTTTCTTTTTAATTTATTTCAATTCTCCTCCTCTCAACTTCAACAATCCCATTTGCAGGTAAATATTTCTTGTTCAAATGAGAAACACTTATAATCACTTCTTCGTGCTTTTACTGTTAGTACTCCTCACACAATTCATCGCCTCGACGCCTTTAATGGTTGTAAGGAGAGTACATTCACCCACATATTATCAGGTTAGTCAAGTCAGTCCTGGGAAGGTGCACTTGTATTAGAGGGAAAGTCTAGACTTCTTGGTCAACTCTGTAGAAAGTGTTAAGAGATAATCTGAGTTTAAAAGTGGCTGAGCTGATTAGGGAAGCCAGATCGCTTGAAAATTCCTGTTGAGTCAAAAAAACCCCCCGGTGGTAAAAGACAGAGCATTTGGTAGCGCTTCTGCTGATATTCTAGATGTATCGGGCTCAAACCCACCAGAGCCATCTGTATTCCTGAGTCCCACCCTCCAGCCATAACGGAATAAGACACTGATGAAGAAAAAAGAAAGACTCCAAATATATTGGGTGCAACTCTATTAGAGACATTCCAGTATCTTCTCATCACATTCCGAAAACATTTTCGAAAACTGTTCTATTTGTTGTTCCGTCACATGCAAAAACTTTCGAGAAAACAAAACATTTTAAGCTGATTTTTCATTTTTGAGAGATGCGTGGACGTGTTTTTGTACACCGAAGTTTGGGGTGGCTTATCAATGACCCGAAAACACAAAGCAGCTTTTTTTGTATGTTGGTGTCAGGCACAGACTCCGCCCATTTCTATTTGTGAATGCTCTTTAAGTTGAGCTCAATTGACCTTCCTCTAGACTGCTATAATTATATTTTCAAATACCTCCCTTCCAACTTTTTCTATTTTTCAGACAATACAACAATTAGAACGAATGATTGATAATGAGAAAGTGTTAAGAAGGAATCGAAAGAGTATACCAGATGGTTATTTCAATGAGTTCACCGTATTGGATGTGTTAGATCGACAACGACGGGGGCAGCCGATTTCTGATTATACGGATGAATTCAGTGCGGATCCTTTTGAGGTAACGTCAGAATGAATTTGCAAACGAAAAAATATGAAATGTTAAGAGGGGAGGGTTCACCTGTTTTCTAAACAAAAATCAGTGAAAAGTTCAGCTGTCCAGACTATAGGGAAAACTCAAAAACCACATGTTCTGAAGTTGAGAAGGGATACGTTAACTACGAAGTTTTTGGGATCATTTGGATTAAGAGTTTCTTGAAAAATGCTCAGTCAAAAATTTAAAAAAGTGCTGGAAATTGTTGGTGGCCTGAAAACAAGGTAACGAAGAGCCAGCTAGGTTAAAAGCCCAAACAACTTCGACAATATTACTGTAAGAATTTCCATGAACTAGGAACCCTTGTAGCTATTTCTAGGCCATCACCAGTTCTCGCTCATTTTTCCGTATTTTCCTTTTCTGAGCAGCGTCATTTTCTGTACCAGGAAACTCCAGAAATCTCTCATAATTTCCTAAAAGAAGCCTATCAAAACTAGTTCAATTCCAAGTCCTTTCCCTCCTCCCTAAAAAGTAGATTAGTGATGATCCGTTGTGTCTCGTCACTTTTTCAACTAATCTTCAGACTTCAGTATCCTCTACGGTCACTCAAAAAACAAGCGAAACAATGACACCTGCTTCATCTCGGTAGTCTCCTTCTTCCGCTCTTCCAACCATCAGATCCATCATCACGTCATCTCACTCAGATAGTGTAATCTCCCTAGTCTCCTTTCTGATCTTCCGCCAAATAAAAAACGCCCACTCTCTTCTCAAATCAATCCACCAACTTGAAAATCCATCTGAATCTCTTCAAAACAAACAAAAACAACAATAATAACAGTGACAAATAACATCCATCTTATTCTTATTTATTTTCAAAATAAAAAATGAAATTTGCCAATTTGAATAATTGTATTTTTTCTTCTTCTTCTCTTACCTTGTTGATTGTGATCTATTTCATTTTAAGATCTCTTTTTATGATTTGCCACACAGTGCCCTTGAAACGGTAGCTGATAAATTTGATTCCCGTATTAAATTGTGAATTTTTCTCTTTTTTTTCAAAATTTTTTTTTGAACAAAACGCATCACGCAATAAACACATATCAATTTTATGTATTTTGTCTCGGAACATAAATTTATTGATTGTTAGGTTTTGAAATGAAATGAAGATTTTACAGAGCGATGAAAGAAAATGAACTGGTAATTGGATTGTGATTACCTGACTGATGTATGTATAAAAATCTGGAATAAAATTGAGAATGAATTACAGGAAAACTTGCGTTCATGAGGAGAAATAGCAAATGATTCTGGAAAATTAGCCAACTCACTTTCAGACCTAAACACTTTGTAGCAGGGATCCATGCTGTAGGGTGTCGCTCTAATCCTGATGGAGCAACTTCGAAAAGACACATTGCGGTACTTGAACCATATTTTCATTTTGTGAGCGATGACCCAAGAACTGAGCGAAAACTGAACCCAAGTGGTCATGTTACGGACGAAAATCCTACCGTCTTGCTTCTTGAAACAGTGTAAAAATCATATAGAAACAGAGCTGTACGCGGCAGCGTTTAGTCCAAAAAGTGCCATAAATGATGTGAATACCACACAAAACTGCTGCTGATAACATGTGAAATCTCAGTTGTAAACCACTGAATACAAGCTCGAAACCAGAAAATAGCACAGTCAAAGAAAATCGATCCAGCACTTACACCTTTGGGCGATAAAAATTGTTTTTAAACTCAGTAAAGTTTTCTATTACAGATATGATCCTGCTAAACCTGTAATCCCAAAATCCCATCATCCATTCCTTGCTACAAATTATTTTAAGCCTCGATTGCCCGCTCCTCGGTCCTCCACGTCATTTCCAGAACAATTGTCTATCCTTGGCCCCAACACAATAATTTTTATCCTTTGGTCAGTTTTTACGACGTCAACAAAATAGTATACGTCCTTTTGAGTGGGTGGGAATAGGGAGATGCTCCACCGATATTCTAATTTTTCGAGGAGGAGTTCGCGTGACTGATGCAAACTTATTCTCTTTTGTTCTTCCACTTTTCGACACAAAAAATCAGAAATCTGGAATAAAGTGACGTGGAGACAGACTAATCAGTCTAATTATCTCTTCAAGAGAGACCCTGCCCCCACCATCTGAAATTAGCTGGACGAAGAAAAAGAAGCAGTGGACGGGAATAAGAATAACATTCTCTTTCTCTCTCCATCCAACCAAATGTTATTGTTTTGTGTAGAAAACAGATAAAAAATGAAATTTCCTCTTTCCATTTTACCTAATCATTTTTGATCCTGTTCTCGGAACCCCTTTTATTTTTATGTCTATTTGCAGGGTGAATTCCCGAAATGACCGTATTTTCATTTCTCGCTTGGTTCCTCCTCTACTTTTGTAACACTGTTTTTTCGTATTATATACAGGTGAGTTCTTGATAGAGATTAGGTGTGTTTTTGTACTATAGGACTACGGTTGGAATTAATAAATCCAATGTTTTTGGAAGGCAAAGCTACATCCGAAAACCGTCCGAAACAAACCCAGAAACAGGGATCCCAATGAGGCAAACAGTCTGAAATATGAAATGAGAACATAAATCTCAGAATATTCCCACAGGAAGAAAGCACGCACTCTCATCGCGTTGACGTCTTCTAAACCCTCCACATAATTCAGACTTGCCGCCCGAGCGGTCTAAGGCGTGAGAAGTTAATCGATCTCATTGGGTATCCAGTCGCGGGTTCGAATCCCGTCCGGGGCAAATCTTTTTTCTTTTTTGCTTTTTGATTTTCAATACTTTTGGAAAGTGTAGGTTTAGGAGACAGTAACATTCAAGAAAGACTGTAGGTTAACAATTCAAACACTCGGTAAAACAATTATCTAATAGTGATTTCCAGACGAAACGATTTGACTACGATCCGTCGCCAATGGTGATGTACAATCAAATGTATTCTCATGAACACTGGATACCTTATCGCTATGAAACCGATCGACCAGTTGAAGAAAGTATGTTCGATTTTTGAATTAAAAGTACAAGTTTTTCTGCCGTTCCATAGTAAACACCAACCAACAAATGCATCCGTTCATACCATCTCAATTGGAAAATTAAAAACCTAAATATTATATTTCAGACATAATTCCAAATTGGGAGTCGTTTGGAGATGGTGGAGCAATTGACAAACGAGTGACAGCCGATCAAATTAATTCTATGTTGAAAAATGCGTGGCTCGGTCGGTAGTTGTAAAAACAGTTTTGATCAATAAATTGTTTCTCATGTTTTTCTTTCTTTTTTATTGCAAAATGAAATTCGTTGAAAAACTATCGAAAAAACGTTTATTTGAAAGTCCGCGCAAAGTGGAAACCTCTGCACTTCTTCTTCCCGCGGCCGTGTACTCCTCTCGGACGAAACAATATTATTTATTTTTCAACTGCACTTGTTGTTTTTATGCTGTTTCTGCATTTTTATTGACTAGAAATTTCGAAATTAATTTTTATTTTCACAGAAAATGGCGGCTGAGTCCATCTGGAGAGTTCGACCTGCCGCCAAAAAGTTTGAACACTTTCCAAAGTTAGCCGTTCCTGCAATTCAGCATCCATTAGAAGAGACAGACAGTAGGAACAAATTAGCCGAGTTTTGGACGAGATGGGAAACGAAAAATAAAAAATCAACAAAAGCAGAGGATAAGGAAAAAGATAACTATGATTTTGAAGATCCTCTAGGTGAGGCTTTGAATTCAAATAGAAAAATGAATAGTTTTCAATTAAAAAAATTCAGGAGCGACCTTTGGGGCTGCTGATACTGAAGAGCGTGTTGACAGAGATATTCTTCACGATACATCCAAATCATCTCGAAGTTTCTCCCTCGATAACACCCTAGAAAACCGAAAATCAGATCGTTCAACCTTTGACATTGAGCTTCCCGATTTTCAACCATGGAGAGAGAAAAGAGCACAAATTGCATCGATTTCAAAGCCAAAAGAATTTGGAATGTCTCAAATCGATATGCTGAAAGCTCGTCTGAAATCATTAACCGATGAGAAGAATCTGAAGAGTTTGAAGAAGGCAGGAGATGTTTCTCAGAAGTTTCTGATGCTTCGAGAGAATATGATCACAGCATGGGGAAGAGAGGATCGTGTTGAAGCTTTCAAAGTGAGATTACCTTTAAAAATGAACTGAAAACTAATTGAAATAGGTTCAACTTCAGATAATAATCGAATCCTCTCATCTCCTGCAATCAATTCCTCCTTATTCTGAAGAATATCCATATTATTGGCTTTTGGCAATTGATGTGATAGATACATTTGGAAAGTTACTTCACGAAAGGTTACTTACAAAGTCAAACGAAGCACGGAATAAAAATGGTCAAACTGATCTCCCAGTCAATTTTACTGTAGAACAAGTACCCAAGAATGTGAAGGATATGGCGATGAATTGGTTTTTGAAATTATCGGAAATTATTGACATTCCAGTTAGATTTTATAGTAAGTCTGGAACATAAAATGTGTTTTTTTCCAAATGAAAAAATTGAATTTTCAGTTGAATGCTCAATGATTGCCTGTTTGAAGTTCTTCGATGACACGAATCTCTCGATTAATCTGGAAAGACTTGCTCAAATGTGTTCTCGTAAGTCATTTGAAAAAATAAAAGTTTTTTATTCTTTATATCTTCAGAATTTCCTGATGATATCTCCTCCATCTTCGCTCGTGTCCACATCTCCCGATACAGTATGCTCATCGATCCATTGAATCGTGCTCCTCACTGGAAAGTTCTACATGATTGGATGCAAGCACCGAAAGATGTTATGGAAGACCTCCATCGAAAGAAGCAATCTCCTCTGGAAGCTAGGAAACAGGCGGTGTCAATTCAAGGGATCGCGTGGATCGTTCAGTGTATTGCTCATGGAGCACATACTGTTGATGACCTAGTTCCTCTTTTTGCATACTGTAGAAGAACATCTCCTCTGGACGAAAAGACGTTTATTTTGGTGTCAGCAGTGATTGAAGGGTTACCGTCAAAGTACTTAGCTGTACATTCTGAACAAATTCTGGACATTGTTTTTGCTCTACATGAAGATTTCGAGGAGCCGTTGACGAGACTAGGGAAGAGATATTTGACATTAGCGCCCATCGAGGAGAATCGAAAGTTTGTAAAAAAGTAAGTTTGGGTACAATTTTTCAGAAATTCCCTTTCGTTTGAAATCCTGAATTCATTTCTCTTCAATCCCTACAAATGTGATCTCAACGATCTCTGGAGATCTGAAAATATCTATAAATAAATTTCCTAATCAAAAAACTAGAAATATTTTTGTTGTTTCTTCTTTTTTCTCTTTTTCACTCAAATTCGTCATCACAACATTACACACTGCCGACCACAAATCTACTTGTGTCGCTTTGTGTCCGAAATTGTGCTCGTTGTGGCAGCAGACGAGTTCTTTCTCTTGGTATTCACTTGTCTTGAGACTTGAGAGTTTTTGAGTTTTCACGTTTTTAATCCTCGATTTCATCGTTTTTAGACAGCTATAGATATTTCCTCAGATAGTTTTTAGGTCTGAAAGTGTTCACCATTTCAAAAAATGTACTAATAACACAAACCTGTTCATTTTCCCCTATCATTCCCTTCCAGAATTCTCTCAACTGTTTTCAAAGTTCTTCCAGATCGGTATGGATGCGAGTCGCCGATATTTCCAGTTTCAAAACATTTGTGGACTGTTGTGCAGCATGGACGTCATACATCGCCAAATACTACACATTGAAAGATCTCACCCGAATACTTCAGCTTGTTTTGGTTAGGCTGAAGATAGATGATCAGACTAAGGTATTTAGAAAAATTTATTTTAAATTTAAACATTATGATTTTTATAGAATCCAGAGAATACACCTCTCCTGCTAGACCTTGTCGCTTCTTTCCTAGAATTCACAGCGGATAGAAATGACTGCATGGATATTGTCACCAATAGTAATTTTGTTACAATTGTCGATTTGATTGGTTATGATATGCAAACAACATCAGAATGTTCTAGAAGAATTCTGGAGATATTCACAAAACGATTTGAGAAGCGTTCGATTTCCAATGTTTCTGTTTGTAACTTCCTCATTGACAAGTGTCGATCGGCGTGTAAAGCTTATCGATTAGATGAATCTGAAGAGGTGAAACGAGTTGAGAATCTCTCCTGCTCCGCGATTTCTTTGATTGATTTTCAATCGATTTCTGAGAGGAATCAGTGTATAGAGTTGATTGTAAGATGCAGAGAAGTTATGGGATTACGGCAGATCGTTTTAACGGTAAGCAGCTATACAAAGTCATAAGCAATATTCAATCCGTTCTGTTTCAGCACGTCATAAACGTCCTCTTCGACTACACTCAATTTGTGCATGCTTCTATGAAAGATGGAAAGAAGAAAGAAGCTTTTATGAGAGTTTGTATAGTTAACTTATCCCTTTCGATTCCTGCTATCCGAGATCCAGTGAGACGTGCCAGAATGAATATCCTCAATATTCATTTGTGTCTTCTCACTAACTTCCATGCACAGATTCAAATTTTAACCGAAGAAATCATGGATTGCCTAGAGGATATCAACAGGAATAGTCCTGCATCATGCTCCATAATCTCTCCGATTCTCAATCAATACTTCGCAATTCTCATCCTCTGTCCCGATGGTTTCAGTGAAGATTTACCGTATCTCACTGATTTCTTCACGGTTTTAGCTCTTGTTGAACGGTATCTGAAGTTGTACTAATTGAATTCCTGACCTCTTTTTGTTTAGGAATCACGAAAAATGGTCGAAAGAATCAAAAGGAGTTCCACTGTCCGAAATCTACATAAATATGCTTCGATATCTGTGTTATTGTCGTCGACAAGATCCTCTAAGACTGGAACCTATTCATTATTATCGAATTGGAGATGAGGAGTATATGTTAGTTGAGAAAACTGTTTCTAAATTTCTGAATTTGTTTTTGTAGGGCTCAAGTCGATAGGAATATTTCGAATGTTATCACAAAACTCTTCTCACTTGCCAACGAGCCAACCATTGCTGTGATCACACTGGAGAACGTGGTGATGCACTTTGAAATCCATGAAGAAGTATTGTTTCTAAACCACTTCCCAGTAAACAAGTACACTTTTCAGATGCGCTCAACAATCCGTGGTCTCTTGAAACGATCTGTCGGCGCACCGCCTAACCTCGAAAAACGACTGGATGAAGTCGTCCAAGACCTGCGAAACGAGGCGGAAAAAGACGAAAATGTTCATAATATCCTTCAACGTTTATCACTTTTGTAGCTCTTTCATATTGATAATGTGCCTAATAACTTATTATTGCCTGATAACTTAATATATTTTCCAAACAATTTGCCGGTACGCTTTACAAGTTCTTGTATATGTTTAATATGTGATGACTATATTTCGGTTATTTATAGATTGCAATTAATATTATACATATTTTTGAACATGTTTTCTTTTCTTTTGTTCTAATGGTAACCTACCCATTCACCGATTTTTTTTTTGCTTTTTCTGCTGCTTCTGTATTTCCAAAGCCTTTTGATTCAGAAAAATGTCAGATGAAGATGACGACATGTTCGTTGATTTCGATGATCGAATGGATACGGATCCGATAACAATTGGAGATTCAGATGACTCTTTCGATAATCCACGACCATCAACATCCACCGATAAGAAAGCAACAATTGAAAAATATCAGAAGTTGAAAGAAGAATCGAAACGGTTAGATGAGTTGGCAAAGGAGGTCAGAAGTTTGGTGCTGAT